TAACAACGCTACAAATATATTCTGAAGAATTCTGGGAGACATTATGCGTTAAGCTTACTCCGTGAATGTATGCTTGGGAATTACAAAAGCAGAAACACGCCTTTTACACTCACAACATTCATATTCAAAAACAAGTAAAAAAACTAAAGTCGGGTGTCCCGACTTTGAAATACTCTGTACATATGCTAACAATAATTATAGAAAATAAAAAAAAATAAGAAAATGAAAAAAAAAATTGTTGATCGATTTTACCTTTCTCGGTATTCGAACTCACGTAAAGAGCTTATAATTGCACATTTACATAGCAATTGCGTCTGTGTGAGTGTATGTATGCCTATGCGCATCTATTCGTGTCTGTGTAAACATGTGTGCAGTCAACCAAAGCACCAGCATCAACAACAGCCGCGGGCAGCGCTTGAGCAGCGCTGCAGCAGCAAATATATTTATGGCTATAACTTCTCGTTAAATCGGTCTATCATAGTGAAACTTGGCATACGGACACATAATAACCAACTTGGGGTATTTCCAAATTTTAGTTCAAAATTCCAAGAATTACGGGAGTTACGATTTGCGGTATAGAGGGGGGAGGGAGGAAAATTCCAAAATAAACATTTTTTGCCTATTCACATAAGGCATCTGGGACTAATATTTGGTGTTCCTAGGTCTTATAGTCTCAGAGATATAGGCGATTATAGGAATGGAAAATCGGGAAAACGCCCATAGGGTGGAAGTGGGGGGGGGGGGGGGGGAATCAAAAAAATAAAACAAACTTGCACAGCGTAACGCATCTTTGTGCAAAGTTTTGTGTCTCTACCTCTTATAGTCTCTGAGATCCAGGTGTTTATGCGGACAGACAGACAGGGCTAGATCGACTCGTCTCATCATGCTGATCAAGAATATATATACTTTGTGGGGTCTGCCACTCCTCCCTCTGCCTGTTACATTTTCAGCTTCCGCAAACCTAATATACTCTTGTACATTTTATGTACAGAGTATAAAAACACATATGGATAAGTGTTGAACTGTACAATTGAATACATACACTTATATGTACATATGGATATGTACATGCACATGAGGATAGATATCGCCTGCATTAAAAAAACAAGAGAGAACGCTACAGTGGAGCAAGCCCGACAGTAAAATACCCTGTACTCTCCACAAAAAGGAAAAACTAAAAAAAAAAAACAAGATACAACGCTATAGTCGAGCAAGCCCGACAGTAAAATAGCCTGTACTCTCCACAAAAAAGAAAAATTAAAAAAAAATTAAAAAACAAAAAAATTAAAAAAAAAAATTATTAAAAAAAAATGAATGAATGAATTAATTAAATTAGAATACATGTTTATGTTCAGTTTTAACAGCATACATTTACATCACGTACCTATGCGTATTTATATGCGTGTATGTATGCAGCACAAAGTTAAACCAAAGCAGCAACAACAACAACAGCTGCGGGCAGCGCTGCCGGCAGTGCTGCAGGCAGCGCATGATCAGCGATTTTACTTATGGCTATAACTTTCTTCAGAATTAACCTATCATGATGAAATTTGGCACACGGACACATTAGTACTAACTGGATGTACCTACCAAAATTGATTTCAAAATTCAGAGAATTACGGGAGCTATGAAAAAAAACACGAATTGCGGGGGAGTAGGGGGGGTGTATCAGAAAAAATAAACAAACTCGATCTGCCTAGGGCTTATAGGAACCTTGATACCAGTTTTGGTTATCCTAGCTCTTGTACTTACTGAGATCCTTGCGCTCATACAGACAGACGGACAGACGGCCATGGCTATATCGACTCGTCTTGTCATCCTGATCAAAAATATATATAATTTGTGGGGTCTGCCACGCCTCTTTCTGCCTGTTACATACATTCGCACAACACTAGTATACCCTTTCATCCTTTGGGTACAGGGTATAATAATATCTACAAATTTATGTATGTATGTACATATCAGTGTTGCCAGACATCCCGATTTTGGCGGGACATCCCGATTTTTCAATCAAAATTAAATATCCCGAACGGGACAGGCGCAGTCCCGCTTTTCGGGAATAACGAGTTGCACTTATAAATGAGGACTGTATGTATGTGGTTGTTAAATTGTACAGTGTTTAATTCTAGGACCACTACTAGCCCTCAATGTCACAATCTATGTATATACATACAAGGTGAGTTCCAAAGTAAACAGGACTTAAAAAAAAACCAGAACAAATGATTTTTTCGGCAAAATCAATTTATTTTATTCAAAATAGTCTCCTTCTGGTTCAATACAGCTTTTTGCACGATCCAAAAGCATGTCGAACGAGTGTTTTAGCTCGTTGGCCGGTATGGCCGCCAGTATGCCGGTGCAAGCCTTTTGAATGGCCTCTACGTATGTATAACGCTTTCCTTTCATGGGCAAATGCATTTTTCCGAAGGTAGAAGTCGCACGGTGCTATATCAGGTGAATACGGCGAGTGGTTAATGGTTAAAATGTGATTTTTGGTCAAATTATCGGTCACAAGCGTCGATCGATTCTGAGCAATTTTTGTTCGTCAGTCAATTTGTGCGGAACAAACCGTGCACACACCTTTCGTAAGCCCAAATGTTCGGTCAAAATGCGATAAATCGATGTTTTGGAGATGTTCAATTCCATTTCCATCAATTTCAATGATGATTTCGGCTGATTTTTGATGAATTCACGCACAGTTTCGATGGAATTTTCGGTGATCACGAATTTTGATTGACCCACATGTTGATAGTCATTTTTGTCCTCACGACCACTTTGAAAACGTTGAAACCACTCGTGCACTCTGCTACTTAATAGGCAATCATCGCCATAAACTTGTTCCATCAATTGAAACGTTTCGGTAAAAGTTTTACCAATTTTAAAACAAAATTGTTTTTTTATTTTTATTAACAGTTCGGCTGCAATGTAAAATGTACAGGCGAACTAATATTTAGCTATAGCTACGAGGCCTTAAGATAAAAACAAAATTTAATGTTGGCTCTTTGTTTGAAGCTCATTTTCGTACCGATAACACCAACATACTGACACTTAAAACGCAATAACTTGACTTCCAATCGATGAAATGTCATGAAATTCTCACTGGACATTTGATAAAGATAGCAGATTCTAACGCACCAGTCGACATATAGATAGCGCCACCAGGGGGCGCTAGATTTAAAAGTCCTGTTTACTTTGGAAAGCACCTTGTATTTATGCATGTGTACATGTATGTGTGTATTTTATGTAGATACATGTTTATGTATATACATACATAAAATAGTTTGTATAATATATCTGCTTTTTAAACCCAAAGTGTGGGTGAGCACCACGAAGTGGTTTAAGAAAATTAGAAATCCGATTAACTTTAAACTTGGTTTATTTACTCTAAGAAAGAATACAAGATAAACTGAGTTGTATTTTTTTAACTTTTCACTAAAAATGATATATTTGTTTGGCTGCAAACGAACTCGAAAGAGTTGACTACTCTAAGCATTTTTCTTATGATCGAACTTGATGAGCCACCGTTCTATTTTTACGAATAAGCACAAGACTTGATTGGTTTGCTTTCAAACATTTCAGGCTCGGTCGCTTCGTTTAAAATGACTGGGTCCTGTTTGAAACAAACCAGACTTACCAGAATAAGCGTTTGATCGAACAAGTATAGTACTGTTATTTCTCGAGTATTGTTTGGGTATAGCGAGAGTTGTACTCGAGTATTGCGCAGGTTTTACCCAAGTGCGTCTCGAGCATTGCGCGGGCTTTACCCGAGTGTGACCGTATAAAAGATGCATGTATGTACACATATTTATGTATTTTTGCGTGCATGTGTTGTTTCCAATTATGCGCAATCATATGTACATATCAGAGAACTGCAACGAATACTACATTTTCGGTCATCCTCGAGTATTTACCCATACTCGATATGATTATTTTATTTGGGTATAGTGACAAGCAATGACTGGTTGCGAACGAGCCCTCAACGAACACTCAGCTCGAATCAAAACTGCAAAAACTCACAAGTGAGCGGTGCGACCGAAACTTCTTGCATGAATGCAAGCAATGACCGGTTGTGAACGAACGCTCACCAACCAGTCAGTTCGAATCAAAACTGCAAAAATTCAGAGGCGGTTGTGACCGAAACTTCTTGCAGGAATGCAAGCAATGATTGGTTTTAAACGAACCCTCACCAACCAGTCAGTTCGACTCACAACTGCAAAGACTCAGAATGAACGGTGGTGACCGAAACTTTTTACCTGCGTGCAAGAAATGATAGAACGTCGTATTTACAATCATGCCCCCATGACCGAAAAGTTCGGTAGAGTTTGGGTAATTCTCGAGTCATTGCAACCGAGCACTGATATCGGCGCGTGCAGGTGCACTTGAATATTCTATTCTTTTTTCGGCTATTGGTTCAATAGCAACTTCATATACAATACATAGTATTTATTGTACTATATGTCCTAGCTCTCGAATCGTACCAAAGTTTTGCTATTTGGGAAATGAACTCCTTAGATATTTTAGAGTGTCGGAAGAGAAATATTATACAGTAAATAAACTTATAATTGTAAGCACAAATACTGAGCCAGCAAAGACGGTCAAGACCTGCTAGTTAGGTATAATTTGACATGTTTTATTTGTATTTAAATAATTTTAAAAATGTAATTAATAACAATATTTAAACATTTTATTGGGGGCTTTTTAAATAACTGGCTATTGTTTTCGTCGATATAAATTTGGTACTCATAGGTATTACGAGACAGAACGAAAATGGGTTGATTCCCTGGATACAACCCTATTGTAATCATTGCCTGTGATTAATACATAAATACCGGATAGAGCAGCGGAATCGACTGAATTTATATATATATATATATATATATATATATATATATATATATATATATATATATATATATATATATATATATATATATATATATATATATATATATATATATATATATATATATATATATATATATATATATATATATGAACTCGTTATACTGTAAATAAATAAAAAACAAAAATAGTTCCGATTACGTTCCTATTACCATATTCACTAGATCCTCACTATGCCTATACACGCTGTATTTCGAAAAGTTTCACTTCCGTATCGTACCAAATCGCTGGTTCCACATTACGCAAATATATAACGCCCCATATGTAGGTGCGAAACCAGGCGGTGGTCCCCGCATTTGCCTGATATTTTCGTATTAGTATAGGATGTGGCACAGGTAGCAAGCCCACGAGCGTCCCATGCTGCAGAAACTTTAAGATCTCCGACTCATCAGTAAGACCTTTGTCTATGCATATTTTTTCCACCTGTGGCACGAGTACCTGTAGCAATCGCATTATTGTCTGTAAAGGCAATTTTGAACGCCAAGAAACAACCCATTCGGGGGTAGGTGTCCAGCGATCGGCCTCACTGATGTCGGGGACTATTCGAATACAGCTGCGATGTGCAACCGAAAATGTCAGCTGATCGTCACGAGTCATGGTAGTTAGGAAGGACTTCTGCCCATCGATTGGCGCCGTTACTGTTACTGACGGTTTATCATACGATAAAATATTTGTATTCTCTGTTTGAATCTTATCATTGGGATGTGCTTGCTCGCGTTCAGTCATTTGGGTTATACGAGGCGTATCGAGCAGTGATGCATTTAATGTTCCCTGTTCAGCAGGCTGTGCTTTTGCCAACTGTGACCGTTCGTTCAATACTGCTTCAGAAGCAAAATCTTCTACGACAGAACCCTTCTCGCCTAAGTCCTCGTCCTCTTCTTCTTCAGCATACTCGTCCTGCACTTGCGACGAAGGCATACTGCGTGTTAATGCCGTTTGCTTGGGTACTGCCACTCGGGGCAAATTAAATTTACCGCATGTTTTCCGCGCACTCAGGCATTTTGCAATGCCAGCCATGTCAGTGGGCAAATTCGCCATTGCATGAAAGACATGACGTTTTCGAATAATAGTATAAACCAGATTTGAATTACCATCAAATTGGTACTGTATAATATTGTTAAAGATTTCCAGAAGAAAGAACACTAGATGATGATTACTAGGAGCAGAAAGCAAAAACCAGGGTGTACTGAAGGCCTCTAGAAGATGCAGAAGTTTCACACTAGCCACCATTGAAAGAGTTTTAAGGTAAGGAGATACGTTTACTAATATGGTTAGTAGGCAATCAAAGAGTGGTTGTAGTCTCTGATGTCCTGTTGCTATGATCTTATGAAACACTGTGATGAGCAAATCAGCATGCGTTCCTGTAAAGACTGGTATATCCATTGGCACTGTGGCTGAATATGGTTTATTAAGGCGCACTCCAAAGTTACGCTCACCTAAAAAGAAAATTTGAAAAATAAATGAGAATTTATTTTGCTTTAGTTTTTTACCTACCAGAAAGCAAAAGCAATATGAAAACACCAATATGCATCAGCCCAACTCGCGATTGATCAGCGCGAGAAAAATTTAAATAATAAAGTATAGGTATCAGAATATCTAGCACATCGGAGCTTTTAAGTACAAAGTATAAAAACTTTTTGTTGTAGTCACATATTTTCCAAAACAAAATTAAAAGCTCCTGGTGACAATGTAAACGCTTCGTTGAGTTTGGTAAATAATTCTGCACAAGTGGATTGTTCAGCAGACGAGTAATTCCCTTTAGTATGAAATTAAAATCCTCGTCGCGGTGAACGCGTGATAAGTAATTTATAAACAAATTATCACCGTAAGTGCTTTCATTGTAGGGAGCAGTAAGCAAGACACTTTCCGCAGCGGCGGCATAGCTCTGTGTCAGTTGATGTTGCTGTACCACCATATCATGGTCTAGCGTCACAATTAACAGCTGCAGACAGGCTTCAACGAGTGCTTCCGTTGTGTCTGCGAAAATTAAGTGATTATATGGGACTCCAAAACCTACTGGGTCATATCCACACACTGTGTTTAAGAATGAAGTAAACAACGGTAAGGCGTGACGGTTGTCCGCAGATGTAAAATATGCAATCCATTTGTTCGGTTCTTCCGACTGCTGCGGCGTACGGTACATAGGATCGGAAAAACAAGTTAGCAGTAACTTTAAGAGCTCTGTGCGTCGCCGTTCCATGTGAGCGTTCCGCGGTGGCGTCTGCGCAAATCCAACACCCGCCTCCCAAATGTATTCGCAACTATCTAGCTGTGCCAACTCCTCGGCCTTTTCAGGGCCTACGCGACGCGCTGCCGACACCGTAAATTCGGGGCAGAAGAGTAAATCACATATGGCATTTAACAAGGATTGTGCCAGGGGTATTGTTTGCGGTCGTGCCCCTAACTGTTCATCTTGTTCCTGGGCAGGCAAACTACTCCAAAAAAAATCGCGCCACTTATCATCCTCAAATATATACGGTATTACATGCACCAAGAGACGCACACAATTTAAAACACATTGTTGATCCACTTGTGTTCGACAACTGTTATCCACAGCTTGGGCAAGCTTTTCAACAGCTTTGTAGCATAGTGTCGCCAAATTGAAAGGCTTGTCATCGCGAATCTGGCGTATTTCGGTAGCAGTAATCAAAGCAAACACGTCTTCAAGCGTAGTTTGATGTGCATGCCAGAACTGCTCCCAGAACTGGTCATCAGTAGGTTCGATTTTTTGATGTGTTAGCTGCACAATAGCCTTCCGAAAATTAATTTTAGAGTCCGTGTTTCCCATATTGTAAAAAATACGTTTGTCAATATACTGAAACAAACCACCAACACATATCTACTATAGGTGCTGGCACTTCGACGATAATATTGCCTATTCATATAAATTAAAAGACTGCTAAGATAGCGTCGAAAAGCAGAAATATCTAATGTCACAAAATATTTTATATGATTTTTCATGCTTTTATTGCATATAATTAAATTGTAAATTAATTTGCATATTGGTAGTCTCAAAGTCATCAACTATATTGTTTTTTATATAAACTGACTAAAAGTGAGAAGAAAACTAATAACAAATTCAAAAACATATGAAAGACATCACATAGATCGAAAATGCAGATAACAAATTCAAATTTTGTATACTCTGTATATGAAAAATGTAACGTGTTAGACCCCACAAAGTGTATATATTCTTGATCACCATGACAAGAAGAGTCGATCTAGCCCTGTCTGTCTGGTTGTCCCTCTGTCCGTCTATACGAGCTAGAGACATTAAATGTTGAACAAAGATGCCTTACGGTATACGAGTTTATTATATATTTTTTTGATTCCCTACCCTTTAGAGAGTATTTCAAAGTCAGGACACCCGACTTTAGCTTCTCCACTTGTTTTTCAGTTAGGAGTATGAAAAATCATTTTCATAGTATTAAAAATCGGCGATTTAGATATTAATATCAAATTAATCATGTTTAAAAAATGTTTAAGAATTTTTTATAACAATATTTCGATTTTATTTGAAACATTCCAAAAGCGATTTCTGTGGCACCGAGAATTGGTTTTGAGGTGAAACTTGGGCGGAAGAGATTTCTATGGCACCCCTGATAAGCTATGTTTGATTTAACATTGGTGTTAATTGTTTGGTGTTGCGTTGCTGTTTTGTATTTTACGTTATGTGGCTATGATGTTGTTTGGGCTATGGAGTTCTATGTTTGAATTAGTGTAAGGGAATGGATTATGTGTGACTGTGCGAAATGTATTAATTATTGTGCTCTGCCGTGGCTACAATGAAGCCCTCCTGCGCCCAGGCTACGGTCGATGCTTACGTCGCCAAAGCCCACTTTTCACATCCGCCTGTCGCTATTGCTGTTGTTCGCCTACCATATACAATAAGACATTATTTCCTGGTATAGCCCTTTTTCGACATCCTTACCTCAGCTACCAAAGGTGTGCTTCATTGTTCCCTCCTGGTCCATCAACTATATCCTTTATTTGAAACCGCCACTTTACTTTTCCCTCGGTGCGTATATATTTTCCACTTGTCAAACTGTGCCTTATGCCCTCAACCAATGTTACCATTTGACATTCTCTAGGAACCGATAACTTTACCTTATCCAGATGCTACCCAATACCACTTCCTATACTACAATTGGTAGTACTAGGCTACGCCACTTGGTGCGAGCATCGACACGACAGCTGTTTACCAAGCGAGTTGCCACCCCTTCTGTCCAACGAATTTCCAAAAAAGAATGAACATTCAAACCCTGTTAAGAGCGGCGAATCGGCAATCGGCCGATAACACCATCGATCTTGATGCTCATTGATGTTCCTTTATAACAAATCGATGCATGGCCGATGCATCGCAAAAAAACATCGATGTTTTAAAAAATTAACTTTCTATAGAAAAAAAGCTAATATTAGGGAGAAAAGCAACAAAGATGTTTGAAACAAAAGATGTTTATATATCAAGAGAGACTGTCATAGTATTTTTCTTAATGTTGTTAATCAATAAAGTACTCGTAATATTGACTTTTGATGAACTTGTATGGCTTACTTAAGAAAAGATTATACATTATTATATATACAGCTTTAAAAAAAACGACCCGTTTTAGCTAGCTTTTAAAAAAATGAACATCAAATATTTAACAATCTAAAATGTATATTAAAAAATACACATTTTAGTGAAAACGTCAAAAATGTATAATGCAAATATAACTTCTTTGGTAAACCACACAAAGAAAGAAATTAAAAACAAAATGTGATCGATTTTACCTCTCTGGGAATTCGAACTCACGTAATCTAAAAGTATCTCTATATACTTGTATATAAAACAGTTGTCCTGACTGGCTGATTGAAAGGAAGTTGAAATGTGAGCTCAAGTACCCTATCAAGGTGCAGGTGAGCACTAAAAAGCGGTTTTAGAAAATTCGAACGCCAAAGGGACTAAAAGGAGCTCCAAAGTTTGATTGAATAATCTTCATTTTTCCACCGATCAAAAGCTTGTGTTATAAATATTATCCGATCGATTTCAAATTTGGGTTCCGTAATCAACATAACTAGTTCTACAACTTGCTAGTCAACTTTTTTCAAAATATACAAGATAAGTTTTTGCTTTGCAAATACAGCAACAACAAATAACAATCAACCCATAATATCAAACAGTCGGTGACATCACATACATACACTGACAGAGTAGAGATTGAGAAATATCGATGACACTATCGAAACTACCTGCAGCTTTTTATAATTCACTCAAACCACTAACCATACAACATATGGTTAGTGCTGAAACATTGAATTAATTTCTGATTGCTGATGTTTTCTTAAGCCTCAAAGAGTGGACAAGCCATTGTTTTTATAAAAAAAATAGATTTGTTTTAATTGGCTCATCATCTCTTGCATTGACGATGCTTGCAAATTAACAAGAACTTTAAGAGAGTTGTGAGTTTCGTTGATTGCTTGAGCTAAGTTTTGCATTAGCTCTTCCATATTGATAACGGAATTGTCGTTTTAATCTTTGTCTCTTATTCTTTTTATCTCACTTTAAAACCGCTATGTCTATCGCAGTGATACACATTCCCTTCTGCTTTATTTTATTATGTATGTATATTTTTCGGCGTAAGGTATGTATGTATGTACAGCCACGTTTTTTCTTTCGAGCTCAATAGTAATTGTGTTCATTTACGCATTTAACAACAATATTTGTTGCTTTTATTGTTCTTCCACTGCACTAAACCTTAAAAAGGTTCGATTACTTAACTGTTTATTTTTATACTCTGTACATGAAATGTACAGAAGTATATTAGGTTTGCGGGAGTTGAAAAACGTAACAGACAGAAGGAGGCGTGGCAGACCCCACAAAGTATATATATTCTTGATCAGCATGACGAGACGAGTCGATCTAGCCCTGTCTTCCTGTCTGTCCGTCTGTCCGTCCGTATGAACACCTGGATCTCAGAGACTATAAGAGATAGAGACACCAAATTTTGCACAAAGATGCGTTATGTGTGTATTCTATACGAGTTTGTTTTATTTTTTTGATTTTCCCCCCACTTCCCCCCTATGGGGGTTTTCCCCATTTTCCATTCGTATAATCGCCTCTATATCGGAGACTATAAGACCTAGGGACACGAAAATTTAGTCCAAGACGCCTTATAAGAATACGCAGAAAATGTTTATTTTGGAATTTTCCTCCCTCCCCCCTCTCCCCCACAAATCGTAACACCCGTAATTCTTGGAATTTCGAACTACAATTTTGCAAATACCCCCAGTTAGTTATTATGTGTCCCTATGCCAAGTTTCACTATGATAGACCGATTTAACAAGAAGTTATAGCCATAAATATATTTGCTGCTGCAGCGCTGCTCAAGCGCTGCCCGCGGCTGTTGTTGATGCTGGTGCTTTGGTTGACTGCACACATGCTTACACAGTCACGAATATACGAGCATATACATACATACACTCACATAGACGCAATTGCTTTGTATATGTGCAATTATACACCCTTTACGTGAGTTCGAATACCGAGAAAGGTAAAATCGATCAAAAAAAATTTTTTTTTAAATTTTCTTAATTTTTTTATTTTCTATAATTATTGTAAACATATGTACTGAGTATTTCAAAGTCGGGACACCCGACTTTAGCTTTTTTACTTGTTTTTCTTTGCCTATTGCTAATTACCACGACTGCGCCGATAATGTTATGGTTGTGGGAATTTTAACGAGAAATGAACAAGCCTTTTTTTAGTTGTATGTATTCACAATTATTATATGATTTTATGCTAAGTATTTAGTTTTAATATATTTAACCCACGACTTTATTTGGCGTATTCGGGCAAGTGACTTCACGACCTTTCGCTCTGATTGCCGATCTTCGGAGTCAGTATCAGTTTAACAAACATTATGTTACTACTCTCCCATTTATTTAGCGATACACCTGGATCGGTTCTCTTATCTTTCTATAAAAACATAATGTTTGTCATCTTAATGAGTTTTTGTATCTTAAATAAGTATTTTTTACTTACAATATGCTTTATTTTAAATGTGTACAATCATATAGTTTTACTTAATATTTATGTACATATGTATTATTTATATAATAATAATGGTATGTTTGAATGACTATTAAAATGTAAAAACCAAAAGGGTAATTCATTTAAATTTAATTTCATATTTAAATACTTTATTTTTACATAGATTTTATATATTTTTTTTTTCAAAGTTTTTTTTTTCAACTATTTACTTCCATTTGTGTTTCTTCTATAGGAATATCTGTATACTTATATGGTCTCTTTATATTTGTTGAATGAATATTATTAAGTTTAGAGTATTTATATTTTGGTTCTTCCTTATGCCTAACTGCTTTATAGTTCTTTATAAAACCTTATTCTCAATTTTGTTTTTATTAATCGGTCCCTTTATCTATTTTATTGTTTAATACTAATTCTGTCGTTGTTTGGATACTACTATGTACTCTCGTATTATATTACCGCTTAGTTGCACAAATGGCGTCGGACAAAGGGGGTGGCAACTCGCGCGATTGACAGCTGGCGCGGGCCGATACCGAGTACTCGTGCGTGAGGTGCGAGGACCAGTGCTACCAATTAGGAGGGTTGCAAAGTGGGGAAAGTAGCATCGGGGATAAGGGAAATGATCGAAATGACGAAAAGAGGACTGGAAAATACACTAGCGGGATTTCGTATGCTGAGGTAAGGGTTTTAGAAGAGGCCAGTATGCCGATGGCTAATCTCTTACCGTTTGTGATAGGAGTAGCAGTATCAACGGGCGGCCTGTAAAGTGTGCTGTGCGCGGGTCGGCGCCGAGCGTCGGAGGAAGTTTTTA